TTATACTCGGTTTGGTTAATTAACAATTCCGTCCAACTGGTACATTCTTACACCCAATGTTAGATGATTTCATGTATTATTTAGTATTCAAGCAATACTTATTTCTGCCTGTGGGAAAGGATTGAAATGCTCTGTTGTCTTTAAATATTAACCACAGACTCGGGCCTGAACATTACAGACAGGTGAAAAGATTTCATAATCAGAACAAAATTTTGTAGGATTGAAACACTTGACTTTTTCTTTTGTTTGTGTTTTTGAGTCAGGACCTTGCTGTACAGTCCAGGCTGCCCTCAAAGTCTCAATCCTCCTGCTGGAAAACTATGCTGTTTTCCGTCTATCAACCAGACACGTCCTCGGGAGTGTTATTCCACCGTTTGGCCACACGATGGTGTGGTGAGCCCACGGAATAACGAAGGTTTTCCTTCCTGCTGGAATCTAGTGATAGGCTGTGCTAGGGGGAAAACACCATGCTTGCGAAAGAGTCAATCTTAGTTTTTCATAGAATTAGCAATAAGACACTGGCTTGATTCAACGTAGTCAAATGATTGTCTAGGGTAAAAGTCTTTCACCCCCTCATTCAAAACGCTGGAGACAGGAAGCCACAGGATGTCACTGATGTTTGTGGGATTTTGTTGAACTCTTAGATTTACTGTAGAAACAAAGTCCCATTTACTATTCCTGCTGTGCAAGAATTTCAAAGATTGACGTGATGGGAAGGGAGCAAGCAAAAGCCCGTGGCCTAAGTTCTGCCATTTTGATGTCAGACTCCATTTTCCCTGCAGGGTGAGATAAAGTTCCAGTTTCCAAGTCCTAGGGGAGTTGAGAACTTTCCAATCGCTGAACAACCTCCTCCCTAAGCCATAGAAATAGCCACTATGCATCTTTAACTCATTAGAAACATTATGGTTGTTCCCAACAACAGAGAGGACAAATGAATCTGATTGGTTGGACTGAAAAGCTTGCATTGTATGTCGGCTGACAATGACGGAACACACAAGGAAAGTCCCTAATCTTTGATTTCTGATTAGTCAAAATTGCAACTGTAACTTGGCAACAAATGTTTGTGATTTTTATGCTTATAAATCCCGTTTCTGCCCCACTTGGGGCTGTCCCTGATCAATCAGTGACCCGCTTATATGGTGATTTCTAAAATCTCTGGAACCCATAAGTATTGTGTCCCCTTCCTTGTAGCACATAAGGGCTGGGTGTGTCGGATGTAATTCTCTAGGGCCGAGATCGTCATCCGTTTGAGAACATAAAATAAAGCAACCCTCCGGCCTGCGGGAGCCAGACGGTGCTCCTTACCTTCTGATGCTAAACTTTAAGGGGGGAAATGCTCGTTTCTCTCCAGGTCCCAGGAGGCCTTGCCCCGGGGATCCTCTGACTTAGCTTAGAGGAGTCCCACAGTGCTGCTGGACTCTCATTCTGCTATCCCTCAGCTCCTGAGCCCTTGAGGTTGTTGCTAAAGTGGATACAGTTTATTACAGGACATGAGATCACCCGAGGGGTGCCGGAGAGCAACAGCTAAAGGGAGCAAGGAGGAGCAGAGGACTTGCACAGAGTGAGAGCTGACAGTGGCCAGAGAGACCATGAGCTAACCTCCATTTTTAGGCAGGTCTGTACACCTCTAAAGTCTATAGAACAGACACCTTTCTGGGGGAGCATTTTGCTATTTGGGTGATTGACAGGGACACTTGGATTGCACTCTTGAGAGTGAGCAAAGACACACAAAACCTGGGGCTAGGTAGGAACTTTATGTTTAGATTCCTGGCACCAGGTTTAGCTAGTTACCAATTAACAACCTTCAGAGCAGCTCAGGACATCGAGTCTCTTCCCATGACCGGTGATAAGAACCGGATCCCATCCACTAACCAGTGAGAGTTTTGCTGCTGCTATTCTTGGTTTTACAAGTCAATGGTTCTGGTGGGGAGGGGCCCGGGGGGTGAGAGGTTAGGGATGGGGGTGAGCAGTCTGGCCCTAATGACTTCCAGCCTGCCGATATTTAGCTTGCTGTCTAAAAATACCATCTATTTGCTTTATACCCTGAATTATTTGAGTCTTACCGTAGATGTGTTGAGATTCCAAATTTTCACTCCTCTTAAGTGATACAGTTGGTTCGACAGTGGGAGAAAGCCATCCAGTGGGGCTGGGGAGATGGTTCAGTGGATAAAGAACTTGCCGCACAAGCGTAAGAACCGAGTTCGGATCCCCAACACCCTTGTAAACATCAGGAGGATGTGCAGCCACCTGCAGTCCTAGCTTGAGAGGCAAGGACAGGGGATAACTGCATCTAGCTGGCTGGCTAGACTAGCCAAGTTGGGGCGCCAAGTCCAAGTGAGAGACCTCACCTCAACACATGAAGTGGAGAGTGGTTGAGAGGACACCTGACATCAAGTGCTTGCTCCCGCACTCACAAGTGTGCGTGGGCGTCCATTCACACATGTGCACTCTAACACATACAACACATGCATGCATCCCCCAACACACACACACACACTCTCAGATTCATGAAGCAAAAAAAAAAAAAATCCATGCAAGCATTAGACTGAAGTTCAGGGATAGTATCAGTGATTTACCCCACGGTGGGGCCACTCTTCCAATTTCGTCTATGTTTCTTCTTATAAAGATTTGTTTTTAATTATGTGTATTGTATGTGGATTTGTGCACGTACGCATGCAACACCGTCAGAGACCAGAAGAGGGCGACAGTTCCCCTGAAGCTGGAATTAAGGCAGCTGTAAATCACCTGACTTGGACGCTGGAAACCACGCTGGGAACCACACTCAAGCCCTCCGCAAGTACCATACGCTTTCCTAACCACTGAACCAGCCCTCCAGCCCCATGAGCGTCGTATTTCTGAAACTCTGAGTCAGAGTCCTTGGGCTGATGTCACGGGACTTCCGTTTCCCTAGTCCAGACCCTAGCAACCCTTTGTTTGCCGTTCACCTAGATAGTCAAGCTCACACGGGGAGTACTGCCACAGCTGATGATACGCCTGCTGGGGAAATGGCAATCGTGAACTTAAACCAGCAGGTCATTTCCCGCGGGTGTTTTCTTTCTTATTGATGTTAGAAAGTCTCTATTCTTCCAGGCTTGGCTTGTGGCACACTAGTCCCCAAATCCACGTTCACCATCTGTGTCAATATTCACTTTACTGTGGGTAGCCAAGCTCACCACCCACATAGAGTGTGGTTTTGGCTTCTTGCTCATTTCATTCCTGTGATGACGTGAGCCTCTAGAACCTCTGCTGCCTATAGTTGCATAAAAAGCTTCGTATTCCCCTGTGTGTCCCTCATGCAAATTCCACTGGGTCACTCCTGGAGAGGTCATGTTTATTGGGGAGAGGGAAAAAAAGGATCTCAAATGGTTTTAGTGTAAAGAAATAATAAATGCTGAAAGAGAAAGATTCACATTGGTTTGAGCATTGTCCCATGTATAGAAATAGTCCATGTTGAAAGATCGTAATTCGCAAACGTGTACAATTTTTAGTATCAGTTTGAAAACAGGAGGAGAAATGAGCTAGCAGATACAATAGGCCCAGGCCCAGCGTCTTCGGACACTGCAAGACCCTACCTGCTCAGGAGCTGCTACCAGCAGCTTGGTTTTAAGTGCTCTGACCCACTAAACGCTGGCTTCCCAGTTTCCATCTCTATATATCTGTGAGACTCTAGGTATCTCAGTATGTTACCCCTGAGTGTCTGTGGCTGAATTCTTTCACTTGCTGAAGGCTTGTGTCTCTGAGGCTCGGTGATGTCAAAGCTCGTGTCAGAACAGGAGTCCCTTCCTTTGCAGGCTGACGGGTATTCCACTGCACAACCACACAACACCTTGTAAACCCCTCCAGCCAGCACTGAGTGACAGGTCTGACTGCTGTCGATGATGGCACCATGAACATGGGCTTTGAAACATCTATTCTTTGGGGATATACCAGGGAGAGAAGCTTGGGGTGTAACTCTGAGTAATTACCACTCTGTGCACTGTCTTCCATAGTCCCTGCAACCACTTCCTGTTCCTACCAGTGGTATAAAAGGCCCTGACTGGGTCCACTCTTGGCATTAGTTACTCTTGTTTTGAAAGAGCATGCGTTCTCAGAAGTATGATGTGATGGCTCGTGGTACTTTGGAATAGAATATGCTGTCATAACCAACTTTTCATGTCAGTGCAGGGATCTGAACTCAGGTCCCCACACTTTCACAGCAAGCATTTCACCTGTGGACCCTCCTCCCAACCCAAGAGTATCTTCTTAGGTGCTCACTGGCCATTTGTATACTTCTTTGGTAACATGTCTATTCGAGTCCTTTGTTGTTTGCCCTGTCCAGCCTTTCATTCTTGTTCTTGTTGGGTTTTTTTTTTTTTTTTTGGAGTGGGGTGGTTTGTTTTCAAATATTGCTTTGGTATGATTTATTTGATGTTGTATGGATATTCTGCCTGCCTGCATATATGTGCTCCATGTGTGTGCCTGGTACCTAAGGAGGCCAGAGGATCCCCTGGAGTTACCAATGGTTGTAAGCCACTATGTGGGTCCCCTGGAAGAGCAGTCAGCGCTCTTAACCACTGAACCGTTTCTCCAGTCCCTCCGTCCAGTTTTACTGAGGTAAAATGACAATGACTGAACATTCATGATAGGAATTCTAAACCTTCTTGCATTTTTATGATGCTATTAGTTCCTTTCTTTCTAGCAGAAAAATTTCTAGGCAAGACACATGTCTGGAGATTACTTTCAAAACTATTACTTTTCTCATGGAGTAAGTGACTCATTCATTGCCATCTGTCCCAAACAAGGTGTCAACTGGCTAAACTCTGTCTTTGTTTCTTACAGTAAGGCAAGCCTGCTTTGCTGTGAGCATTGCTGAGCTATCCCCAGCCCTCACACAGCACCCCGAGCTGGGACTCTGGGGCATGACATCTTTCTGCTTGGTTAACTTCAGCGTTTCACCATCCATTTCAGGTCACTGCCCCTAGCCTGGCCCATTTCCAAAGCTGACGGAGGCAGGGCCCTGCTCTGCTGCGGTGATTCCTACCCAGTCACACGCAACACAGCCCTCCATGCTCTTCAGCATGTCCGTCACAAAGCCACACTTCACCGCCATGGTCATCCTGATGATCCTGGCTGACAAGATGGCAGGTAACTCAGGTCTCCCTCAGGTTCTGGGCTCTCACAAGTACAACTGGTGTCCCAGTGACCTCTGAAAAGTCATGTATGTACGCCAGTATCTCAGGTAGGCTGTAGATGACACAGGACCAGCGGTGTCAGTATCCCCCTTCATTCTCACGGCCCACTTAAGGTTGTTGGCCTGTGTTCCTGGGACAGTGGAGACTCAAAACATGAAGGACACCAGGAAGAGCTGTAGCTGGGATGGGAACCTGAGTCACGGTAAAAGTGTGGGAGGTTCAGAGGAGAAAGGACAAGTTGCACATGGGAAAGAGAATTTGGGGTCAGGGCAGGGATTGTAAGACCATAGAGAAAGAGGGGGATTGAAAAAGTGAGTCTGGCTGAGCATGAGACAGGCGGTTCTGCTGTGGACCCAGGCTTGGCTGAGATTCCCATGTCATCTGGAGAGCGAACGCTGTTTGCTGCTGAATGGAGCTGGGAGGAGATTAGTGAAACCAGGAACTGGGGTAGAGAGGGGTCTGTGGTTCGACCCTGTCAGATGTAGCTATGATCTGGGGTTTGGATGAATGGGGGTTTGGATAACTTTTACTGAGCGTGTTCATGTTTGATTTTGTAAGCAAGGCTTGACTGGTTATCAGATGGGAAGAGTTTGATTGACATTATTTGTTGGTGGGTGTCTCACCGAGGCCACGTATATTTATCTGGATTAGCCTATGTTTGGGGGTGATTCTTAAGCTTCAATAAGACCCCGAATTCATCAAAGCAGGACTGTAGCTGTTACTGATGTGGAGAGATAAAGATTCATTAATATACTGTTGGTGACTGTGTTTCCATGTGCTGGTAATTCTCCTTACTGCACAGGTTTTAGGTTGAGGTGCCATCGATTTCTGGTTTTGTTTTTATGCCTGTACTTTTGAGATCAATGCAAACAAACTGTTCCAAGGCCACTATCAAGACTCTATTGTCCTTGGTGGTGGTATTTTGGGAGTCTTACAGTTTCACTTCTTAGGTCCATTTTAGTTGAGTTTTGTAGGTGGCATAAGGGTCTAACTTCATTCTTTTGTGTGTAGATATACAGTTTTCCCAACACCGTTCATCGAAGAGGTTATCCTCCTATAGGTAACTGCCCCAGTGACAGATCTATCACGCACTCTATTTTTAAAGTGGCATAGAGACCTGGAGCAGTGGCGCTCCTCTCTAATCCCTGCATGGGGGAGACAGAGGCAAGCATATCTCTGTGAGTCTGGGTCAGTCTGATCTATACAGTGAGCTCCAGGACAGTCAGAGAAAGACGCTTTCTCAAAACAAAACAAAACAAAACAAAGATGGCTTAGGGAAGATCTCTGCATAAGGATGAGTTAATAAACAAAAATAATATTAATAAGGGTATTGGAGGAAATCTTTAGTGGTGATAGAGAGTGGCGATAGTTTCATGGGTTTGTATTTATCTCCAAATTCAAGATGTATTGTTAAATATGTGCGGTCTATAATAATGCCCCCAGTCAAGTGGTTTTAGAAATAAATGGAAAGGATAAAAGTTGGGAGAAAATATCTGTTATTTTCCAACGTGGAGGAAGATTTTTGAGTGTGGTTTTAGTCACACTAAAGAACAGTAAATAACTTTAGGCCCTGAGGACAAATGACACCAGACAGATTCTCTGACGGATTCTTCTTTGACTATCCTGGAACCTTTGAAGCCCAGGCTGGCCTCGAGATCTGCCTGCCTCTGGAGCACTGGGATTAAAAGTGTATGCCACCACACCCGGCAAAGGGGATGTTTTTGACGTGTCTCTTGTCAAGCTCCGACACATGCAGAGACACTGGGCACAGTTGTGACCTGGCACTGTGGAGAACATGGGTGGTACCCTCATTCTGAGTGAGATCCGAGTCCCTGTATCTAGAGTTGCTGTCCTGCCTTAGCATTTTCTTCTTCCCCCTTTCACCCACTGTTTCTTTCTTTATTTCTCCTCCCAAGTTACTTCTCCTCTTCTTTTAGCCACCTGACAGAGGACCCCTGTTCTCCTGTGCAGTAAAGCTCGTGTTGGAACAGTGATGGGAAATACGGGTGTGCTTGTGAGAAATGACACGTGAAGACAGCACGCCATGCCTCAAAAGCCGCACACAGTGCCGCTTCTCGTGGCTTTATGGCTGTCACCAGGCAGGATTTGTGAGCAGAAGCTGTCCCTGACCACCCTTTCCACCGGGACAATCAAAGTCATCTTTTCCTTTTCTTGCTCCAAACATGCATATCAAATTGAATTGTTTGATGCCAAGACCGCCTTTAACTATAAGTTCCTGGCACTGAGCTGAGGATGAGGTAGCTTGAACAAACATTTGTTGAATGGATGAAGGAAAGCCTGCGTGACCGATGGCTGACTTACGTGGCCAGGAAGAACCTTAGGAAGTAGATGGGGACAGCCACGTCCGGCCACACAGGTGGTCGAGAAATATGTGTCGTGTTGATTTGGGGGTCAATGTGGAGTTTGTTAGAAAGGGGCAAAGCAACACTGAGAGATGGCTCGGCGGTTAAGAGCATTTACTGCTCTTGCAGAGGTCCAAGTTCCTTTCCAGCACCCATATTAGGTAACTCATAACCACCTGTGACTCTAGCTCCACGGGATCAGATGCTCTCTTCTGGACTCTACAGGTTCTTGTACATACACGCTCAAATTCACACATATAAACACATTAAAAGTAAAATCATTTTCTAAAAGTAAGGTTCCAGATCACATCTTCTGTTTTTTTTTAACATTTTATTTTATTTTTATGGATGTATATATGTGTGTAACAAACGTGTGTTGGTGCCCATGAAGGCCAGAAGAGGGTGTCACATCCGCTGGTTGCAGGCAGTCGCGAGCCTCCTGATATGGGTGATGAGAACCAAGCCCAATGTCCTCTGCAACAGCAGTCAGCCTGTATTGCTCATTTTTTGAGTCGTGACTATTTATTTTGCTCCCGAAACATTTCAGCTGGCAGTGACGGTGGCTGAACTAGGGTTAGACTCTCATTTCAGGCAGGAGCTGCCCCTGCTCTGGCTTCAGCTAAGGGCATCCTGAATCAGCTACGCTAGAGGCACGCGTGTAATCCCCAAGCAGTGAGATCTCATTAGCTTCCTGGTGCAAATCTCCCCTTCCCCATCTCTCCCTGGGGAGACTAGGCTTAGAGAGTTGAGGCGTACACTGTGCAGTGGCTCAGAGGCAAGGCTGAGCCCCCAAACGGCTCCTGCGGCTTTAGTTGGAGGTAGGGAGATCACTAAAGGTGACTTGAATATGGCAGCACAAGAGCGTTGGTGGTGACGCAGGACAGCGTGGGGTTAGAAAGAGCAGAGCAGAGGCTGTCCGTGCCTATAGTAAATTTTTTATTGCAAAAATGACTTACTTTTTGAGCCACTGTAGGCTAAATCCTCCTGGGATGGCGAAGAGACTAAGACATAACGGCTCATCTGACCTCTAGTCCTCAGTCTATATATCCCCAGCCACTCTCTGCGACTTGGACCAGCAGGTCATTCTTCAGTGACAGGGTCTTAAGCAGGAGGGCCAGGAGATAAGACAAAGATGGGAAAGCTGGGTCAGAGGTCTTGCATAAGCTGTCTTATGCCAAGCAAGTTTTCTAAGATGTGCAGCCACTTATATACTGCTTTCAGGGAGGAAAAGGAACCAAGGTCAGCAGAGAGCTAAATCAAGCAGTGTTGGCAAAGAGAACACAGGCTCCCTCAGACACAGCTGACTTAGTACTGATAACCACAGCCCTTCAGTGGGGAAAGTGGTTCCCAGGAACCAAAACCATAACTCCTCGAAGGCCCTGACCCCAGCTCCAACCCAGACCTTGCCACGTCCGCCCCTGGGCAAGCACTCAGACCCTTTGAGCTTTCTTCAGGGCCTCCAGGAGAGCCCGGGATTGGTCTGGCTCCCAACACCTCCTGGGGTGTGTCTTCATCAAATGGGGGGGGTCACAGTAGGTTTTTATGAGGGTTTTCTGAAACACATTTAATAAAAACTCAGAGACAGAAAGTGGGGTTCAACCTAAAGGTCACTGACTCTTTACCTCGACCTCAGTCCAAACCGGCGATCCTGCCTCCAGGAATCTCAGAATGAGACTGAGACTGAGAGCTGTCTCCTCCTGTTTTATAATCCTCTCTAGGGCTGGGATTAAGGGCATGCATCACTACCTCCTGGTTTCTATGGCAACTAGTGTGGCTACTGGGATTAAAGATGTGTGTTACCGCTGCCTGATCTGTAAATCTGACCAGTGGGGCTGTTTGACTGTCTGATCTTCAGGCTAGCTTTATTTGTTAAAATACAAACGAAATGCCACTACAGTTCTCTGTGGCATCACTCGAGAAATCGTCACACAAAGGAGATGCCATGCTGAGTGATACTTTGATCACATTCTGACAATAAACTTTACTGTGAGTTGGAGGGCAGACTAAGGACAGATAGGAGACAGGAAGTAGTAAGGCGGGGCTGAGGGGATCTCAATCATTCTGGGACTGAGGAATGGAAGCAAGAGGGGGTCACTGGCGGCTTCTCTGATCATTCGTGTTCTTACCCCATATCTGACTCCCATTTTTTTAATTGATAAAGAATAATTAGATAAACACTTCAACAGCAGTGAATGCTTGTATTGTGTTTATTTTTTCTCTCTCTCTCTCTCTCTCTCTCTCACATCTTCTCCTTTGTTGTAAGAGCCAATTGTTGACTAGTACTTAGAAAATGCCAACTGTGTGCCAGGAACTTTGGGGTTTTCAGTCATGGAGCCTGGATGCTGTGCACACTGCTGGATGGCCAGTATGCAGCTATCACGGCAGGCTTTAGCCACACGGAGCGTGCGTGTGGAATAGCCTCATGTGGTGAGAACAGCTGAGTTCACTCAGCATGTGGCTCCCTGAGGAAAACCCGTAGGACCCACGAGCCGGTCACCAGTGTGTGGCTATGCGCACACTGCACCTATTTCTTTGGGGGACATGCACAGAGATATGTGGGGAACACGTTCGTGCCTGTTTCATGGCATCCAGTGATGCCCCCCCTCGGTCCAAACATGTGTGTTTCTGGATCACTAGAGGCACACAGAACATGCCCAGTGTGTACCCAGGGTGGCAGGGCATGGATCCAGGGCTTTAGGAAAAATGTCCGTGTTAATGGTGCCATATATTTAATTACAATAAGTGATTTGATTACATTAGTAATTCATATAATATTTATAATGTATATACTTATATAATAAAGTAACGTTTAATTACTTATTAAATGCTTGATGATTTTGTGGATGTTCCATGTGTGATACTTTATCGTCACAAAACCCTTAGGGACTTGGCCCTGTTGGTTCTTCCGTTGTAAAAATGGTACAGTGGAGGGCCAGAGGCTTGAAGGAAGCCGTGTAAGCATGGAGCTAGAAAGGAAAAGAGCTCAGGTCTGACTCCAGATGTTTTGATTCTGGGGCCTGGGCTCAAAGGGACTGTTTCATTTCAGTAACAATTTCTATATCTGACATCGCCACTGCACAGAAACTAAACACGGCTATGTCTTCCCCAGGTGGCCTGTTCGGATTCCGCATCAGCAAGAGGCCTTGGATTCCATGTGAACTTTACCACGGCGTATGCAGAAACTCCTGTGAGAAATACGAGATCCAATACTTAACCTGCTCAAACAACAGAAAATGCTGCCTCAAATTTCCTACGTAAATTTCCAGTTTCTAACTCTGTGAAGGAGTCCAGCTTGCCCACCACAAATGCTTCAAGCTACTCTCAAGTTTGAGTCAAGCATCATCCCTTCCTGTAGTAATTTCTCCTATGATCTGGAAGGCTCTCTCATAAAAACGCACTCCTTATCATGCGTGTCTCTCTCTGTTCATAGCCGCCACTGGTCAGGGCAATCACTGACTTTAAACATGAGGTTACTTTAAAGCCCAAGTGCTGTTACTCCAGGACACAAGTTTTGCATTATGCCCACTTCTCGGGCAGTTGTCTTACCTGCCTAGCAGTTTTGCCAAGTTGAAACATCCTTGGTGGAAGCCCCTTGAGAAGTTTAAAAAGAAGGCTTAAGACTCAGGAGGTGAACAACTCAAAAGTCTCAGGAAGTCCCTGAAATGTACCAGATTCACAAGACACCCCCACAAGGTTACATAAGCAGTAAAGAGATTGAAGAGACACTCTGACTTGTCAATTTTCCTGTGAGTTGAGTAAATGAGAGAATATGTACGGGGGCCAGATAGTACCCTGATAGGCAGGCAGATAGGAAAAGACATCAGAAATAAACAATATGGCATCCTTCCTGCTTCTTCTTCCCCCAGGACAAATATTGGCAGAGTTCCTTGACACTTCCCCTAATATGGTGGGCACTCTTGCAGCTGACCTGCCCAGACATGTCCCAGGCAGGCCTGGACAGGAGTGTGAACCAACCATCCTGTTCTCCTTTGTTCAGATCCAACAGATCAGCTGATCCAAAATGAGGAAAGGAGGGGCCATCTCAGGCCACCAGAAGCACTTCCGACCCCCAGCCCTCCACAAAGAGACAGAGCTCAGACGCTGAATCCCCTCCTCACTTGTGAGGCGTGTGTGTGTGTGTGTGTGTGTGTGTGTGTGTGTGTGTGTGTGTACACCCGCACGCGCACGCACTCTTGCTTTAGACTTCTTAGCTCTCCAGGACAGTTATTTAGTTCCTGCTTTTTCATTCTTCAGTCAGTGGAGAAAAGGAACCTGACCCAAGAGCCCTAACTGGCAACACTGAGAGCTCCAGAGTTCCAGGTTTTGTGAACTTTTGCCCATTTGGGTTGGATATCTTGGTGATGCAGCTGCCTTTGAGTGGCCCATTCTCCCGTGAGTTACCCCTTACCCTTCCCTCATCCCCCACCTTAGTTTTGAGACAAGGCCTCTCACTGAACTGTGAGCTTGCTGTGTCAGTTAGATGGGCTGACCAGCCAGCCCCAGGGAGCCACCTATCTCCACCTTCCCGATGCTGGGTGACAGACATGTACCACCATACCCAGCTTTTATATGAATATAGGGGATCTGAACTCAGGTCTTCACGCTTAAACAGCAAGTGCGTTACCCACCGAGCCAGCTCCCGGGCCTGGCTTATTTCCCCTTTATTTTGTCTGTTTGTAAATGAAACTGTAAGGTGGTTTTCTGGGGTGTAGTGTTCAGATTTAGGGATGTGTGCTGACACGGTTAAACTCAAGACCCAGGAATCTGAAAGTGAGCCTGGAAGCAAGCAACATTCATCCAGGGTTTCTTCGCCTTGAGTTCAGCTTCTCTTAACAGTGTTCTGGAATCTGCAAACCAAAGACACTCTTTCCCCACAAGCTGCTCTTAGTGGCGGTGCTGATGATACTGTAGCAGCAGAAGGCAAACCAGAACAGAGCAGTGCTGTTACTAGGTGCCAGCCACTGTTGTGTAAAGTACTTTAACAATGTAAAGGTGTGTTTCATTTGTTTCTGCGGCATTTGCTTAATCATGAAAAGATGTAGTGTGTTTGATTCACCTTGCCTGCCCAAGGCACCTGATTGGTCTAATAAAAGGCTGAATGGTCAATAGCTAGGCAGGCAGAGTAGATAAATAAGAGGAGGGATCTAGGCTTGAGAGAAAAAAGAAGGAGGAGAAGGAAGAGGAGGAAGAGGAAAAGGAGGAAGAGGAGGAGGAGGAGGGGGAGAGGAGGAGGAAGGGGGGGGGGAAGACGTGCATGCCTGGGGCCAAAAGCCAGGAGGCTGCCAGACAGATAGACAGATATAGAGACAGTAGGAATAAGATACACAGAAGAAAGAAACAATAAAAAGCTCAAGGCAAAAGGTAGATAAAGAGAAACAGAGTAATTTAAGTTAAAAGAATTATCCAAAATGGGGCCTACGCTAGGCTAAGCATTCATAACTTACAAGAAGTCTCCATGTTATGATTTGGGAGCTGGCTGATGGCTCCAAAGAAAAAAACCTGGTACAAGCCACCTTGTAATTCCTTTTTGAGACAAAGTCCCCCACAAGTCTGGAACTCAACACTTGAGAAAGGCTGGCTAGTCAGTGAGTCTCCCATCCTGCTCCCCAACACCAGGACTGAAAGCACCCAGCTTTCCTAAGTGAGTGCTGAGAGTCAAATGCAGGCCCTCGGGCTTACACACCAAGCACTTCACCAATCGAGCCATCTCCCCAGCCCCACTTTGGAAATATTTATTTATTTATTTATTTATTTATTTATTTATTTATTTATTATGTATACAATATTCTGTCTGTGTGTATGACTGCAGGCCAGAAGAGGGCACCAGACCTCATTACAGATGGTTGTGAGCCACCATGTGGTTGCTGGGAATTGAACTCAGGACCTTTGGAAGAGCAGGCAATGCTCTTAACCTCTGAGCCATCTCTCCAGTCCCCTTTGGAAATTTTTAAAAGCAAAATTAAAACTTTCAGATTTGGATTTCAGGGCAGCATTTAGGACATGACCGCCACAGGGTGTTTGCATTCGTTTAATTGCTGTCATTAAAAAGTACCACCAACTGGGTGACTTGAGTTTATTTTCTCACAATTCTGAGGACAAAGTCCAAAGTGCAAATATCAGTAGAGCTGGTTCTCTTTGGCATCTCTCCTTGACTGGCCGATGACCAGGGTCTTCCTGGGTCTTATCAGGACACTTCTGTGTGTCACAATGATTTGAAAACAATTAGGTCTGAACTTTCTCTCATGAGAACATTAATCATACAGCATTAGGGCCCACCCGAACAATCCCATTGTACTTCCATTTCAGAGATGAGCCGAAGCCACAACTGGTAAGAAGGCTTAGCCTGCCCTACAGATGTGTCCAGATTTCCTCCACATCCTCCTCACTTCTACGTAACTGTGAGTCTGGAGACATGTTGACACAGTGTGTACTCCTTAGGAAGAGCAGGACACCCAATGACATGGATCCAAAACATCTTTTTGTTCCCAAGGATCTTGACAAGGATAGAAGGACACTAAGGATAGGACAAGACTGGGGTGCCCAGTACATATCCTAAAGGACCTTAGCACCCCAAAGAACACTGGAAACTGGGCATGCAAGTGTTAGATGCATCTTTGGAGTCTGGACACAATGACTAGAGGCAAGGATGGGGTCAAGGCATGCACATCTAACCTGGGAGCTCCTCTCCGGGTCCCATACTAACAGTTGACACTGCTGTCACTGGACCCTGGCAGGGTCCTCTGCCCCATGCATTGTCACTGGATTCACCTGTCGGTGATTTCAATAAAGCCTCCACCTCACGGGACAACTCTAGCTATTTCCTTAGTGTCTGGGGGAACCTGGCCCACTTCCCTAGCCTAGCTGGGCTATTCCACCACTGCATCTCCCTAAGAGATGGACAAACCCAAGATCCAGTCTCTTGTTTGCTCTGCCATTCAAGTGCTAACCAGGCCCAACCCTGTGTAGCTACTGAGACCTAGCAGGTGCACTCAGGGTGTGACGGCTGTCGACTCCACACGCTAGACGTCCCAAGGACATCTGTGAAATTCCTCCTTGTAGGATTACAGTGGAGGAGGGAACACGTGATGTAAACAGATGAGGAAATGCATTGAGAAGTAATCAGAAGGACTGTCCTGCCTCCTCAAACTATGCAACTTCATTTCCTCTTCTGACCAAGGAGCATCGTATTTATTCCTTGCACATAATAAAGATTTTAGCATAGGCTAAGCTGTCTGTTGTTTTTACTGTTTTCATCCCCCGTCTTCTTGGGGCAGGAGTGGCTGCTTCCTGGTCACTGGACACGACCGACCATCTCTGGGCAGTCCTCTGTGATTATGGACTTTGGGACTGAAAGGCCACCAAGCAAAGTGTGGGGCAAAGCATTAAGCTAGAAAGGGAAGAGGGGATCTTCTGGATCCTATTGGTTCATCCTGTCTCTCTAGGAAGAGACATCACATAAGAATCTGCAGCCAAGGTGCAGTTTACACCTGGAAACTTTCAGGGACTAGGAGCTTCTGCTCACAGTCTCGGGGATGCAGGAATTAGATGCCACCAAGTTCTCATGCTATAAGAACCAATATTTTCAACTGATATTATTGGCTGTGTTATCCAACCCCAAAAAGTGCTAGACGATGGGCTAAAGGCTGACATGAACTCCTTCCCCTCAGTGCTGGGGTCAAAGCCAACACTGGGGAGCTGGCTTATGTAGATGCCCTGGGGTCAAAGCCAACACTGGGGAGCTGGCTTATGTAGATGCCCTGTTACAGCTCTGTACCTCAGACTCCTTGCAATGAACATGGATTAATGAGCCCCCTGCAGCCCAGCAGCGCCTAAAGATTAGAGCAGGGGATCTTCGTGTCCCTACTTGGCCCTGATGACTGTTGAACTCTCAGGCTGGGAGTCTGACATGATACATACCTTTCTTTGGCGGGTCTTTGACTGGAGGCAAGTAATATAGTTTCGACTTTGATATTTGGACACAGCAAACAGTGAAGTCCCCACATCTCTCTTTCTTCTTCTCATTTGTCCTGCATTCACGTCTGCATTTGCCCATTCCATAAAAGCACGTTCTCAGCCACCCGTCTGTCAAAGGGAGCAGAGAGGGATCCTGAAGTATGTGAGGACACACCCGTATATCCTGAGGATGTCAGCAGGTGGGCCCGTGAGAACAGTGGGTTCCCGGGGTATTGAGACCCCAATGTAAATTACAAATTCTCTCTCCTTGTATTCCCCCAAAGTTCTCTCCTGGGAGGTAAGCTAGTTCTCTCTCATCAGGACACTCAAACCAGAAAATCAAGTTCATCTCAACTTCCCAGTCCACATCAGTATCCCATGAGCCCCGTGCACTGGCACTCTCTGGACTGTCTCATAGCCGCAGCTCCCTCCTCTGCCTCAATTGTTCTCTCCGGAGTTTAGCCCAGTTTGTGATCAGTGCTAATCAAAAATGGATTTTTTTCTTCTTCCCATCCCCCTTTCTCTAGAGCAACAACAAATGATTGACAAAGACCTTCACCTTGCAAGGTTGACCCAGCAGCAAATGATGCAGCTGGGGTGAGGAGCTGACTCAGCCGGCGAAGCACTTGCTACCTAAGTATGAGGATGTGAGTTGGGGCTGTCGGTTCCCACATAAAAGTTGGGCACAGCAGCACACATCTGTAACCCCATCACTGGGGCAGTGGGACCAGGGAGACCTCTGGGTCTACTGGCCAGCCAATCTAGCCAATCTCCGAGTTCCAGGTTTAGAGAGAGTGCTATCTCAAAAAATAAGGTAGTACCAGGCATGGTGGGCACGCCTTTAAATCCCAGAACTTGGAGGGCAGTGGCAGGAGGATCTCTGAGTTTCAATGAAAGCGAATTCCAGGACAATCAGGGCCATACAGTGAGACACTATCCCAAATAATAATTAACGATCATCTTATTATTGCATGGAGCGTGACTCCAGAAGACATCTGATGATCGATGGCTGCTACGCACGTTCAGTCTGAAATCTAGACTCCCCTACCCTAACAACACCTTCATGCCTTTAGCCCACGATGAACCAATGTCCACCCACACATTTCCCACCACGTGTTCTAAGAACAAGATGCCTCCTCTGCTTGCTTCAAGGGAGAGGTGCAGTAAGCATGCTGGCTACTGTAAGGCATGGTACCAGTGGACGGGACTGAAGTGAGAGGCTGGGTTCAGACAGGAGATACTGGAAGCAGAGGCACTGATGTGCGCTGCGGGGGATGGTGCGGGCGCGGGCTACCTCGAGGCACTTGCTTTCTCTGTGCCTGCATTCCCCAGCCTCCCTAAAAAGAAGCATCACCTTGGCCACAGGCAGCCCACAGGAAAGCACACTGGCATCCTCCACCCTCCTGTTCTCTTCTCCCGCCTCCTGTTGCCTCCTACCTCCCTCTGTTCCCTCCTCCTGTATACCCTTTTCCCTCCTGCCTTACTGCTCACCTCTCGCCCTCTCTCCTCTGTTCCCTCCCTTCTCTCTTTCCTCCCTCCTACCTTCCCCTTTTTCCTTCCTTCCTCCCTCCCTTCCTTCTTCCCCTCCTCCTCCTTTCTTTCTTCCCTATCACCATCCATCTGCTCTTGCCTTCCTCCCCTCTTTCCTCCCAGCACTGGAGGGTGAACTCAGAGCCTCACCCGATCCCCAAGCAACTCTACCACCACGCTAGATCCAGTCCCAAAGATGCAGGCACAGTATGGTTCTCTCTCAGCAGACCTCAGCAGCTCCCGCTTTCCCCTTCTCACCACGGCTTGGTTACCTGGGGAAGTCTGAGCCAGGACCACAAGGACAGCTAAGGTCAGAAACCAGAGCTTAATGTGTCCTGAGAGGGCTGAGGAGCGAGTCGGCAGCATGCTGAATGTGCTGGGAAAATTCCGACTGCTTTTGGTTTTAATGACCGAGGTAGGGCCTAGTCACGGGCAATAAATCTGAGGCTGGCAGAGAGCTGCACCACCCGGACTGCCTTCTACAGGTCACCACTGAAAGTGACTCATGCAGTGTGCAGGGTCAGCTCTGGAATCCCTCTGGCAAGGGGCCAGCAAGCCCGCTGCTTTGTGGACAGTGAGGATCTAGGCCCCCAAGAAGTCTTCCCTGCCGCTCTCCTGCCTGGTTCTGCCCCATGTTTGCCACGGGTGGAGCTGAGTTTTTCTAGCTTACCGTCCCACATACTGGTGGCCTCGAGGGACAACTGTGAGCCTGAGAGCCCTGCAGGGGCAGACTAGTGTCATCTCTGTGTGCCCAGCGCATGCGGAGCAGGTGCTGCTAATCTTGGGCAGTATTCCAACACCAGCACCGACTGGACTCATAGAGTCAGCAATAATAGATAGCAATAGAAGGGGAGAGGTGGAGGTCATGTTGGGGTGCAGGGTGTGTGTGGGAAGGGGTGCTGGGGTGGGTAGAATCAGGGTACACTGTTTACGTGTGTGAAATTGTCAAACAAAAGGATTTCTTTTAAAAAGCATTGGCTGGACAGGCAGGTGGGCTGTAGATGGGGCTCAGTTGACAGAGCTGGCCTGGCAGAAGCCCAACCTTCGGCTCCATTCCAGAACGGGGGAGGTAGGTGAAGGCAGGAGGATCAGAAGTTCAAGGTCATCCTCAATTGTGGAGTGAGTTCAAGGCCAGCCTGGGCTATGTAAGAGCCTGTATCCAAATAAATAAAAAGCAGGAGGAAGAAGATGGAGAATAAGCAGTGTGTGACCTTTATTCATATCCCACAGACCACGTGCAGAGTCAAAGGGTGAGCAGGGCAGAAACAAGCTGGGTGACAGCTCATATGTGTGTGTGTGCACGTGCGTGTGTGTGTTGTGTAATAATATAGTGCATATGGTATGAATGTATGTGTGAGGTGTGTGTATGGCATTGTGTGCATGTGTCTGTGATATGTGTGTAGTGTGACATGGTGTGAATGTGTATGTGCGCTGTGTAATAATATGATGCATGTGGTATGAATGTATGTGTGAGGTGTGTGTATGGCATGGTGTGCATGTTTCTGTGATATGTGTATGGTGTGACATGGTGTGAATGTGTGTGTGTGTGGTGTGGTGTGGTGTGGTGTGGTGTGGTGTGGTGTGGCATCTGTAGTTACTTTAGGCAGAGTAGTTGAGAAAGGAATCTATGAGGAAGTGACATTAAATGAAACCTGAATGTCCCGAGGACTTGACTCATCTAAATAGAGTCTTCCAGGCAGAGAGAACAGAGAGGGCAGAGCCCCAAGGCAGGAAAGCTCAAGGCTGAGATCCCAGAAATGGCAGGGCCACCTGCATCGGACCTTATATGGCCTTACGGGATTCGTTCAGGCTGAGATATGGGGCCAGGGTTACTTTTAAGTGATATTTCAAATCTGACTTCATTTTCTCCACCTGAAACGTATCTGGGCTGGATGGCATGCCCTGGGGTGTGCTGGTGTCGCTGGCAGCGTGATTTGTAGGTGGCAAAGAAAAGCATGTTTAATTCTCACAGGAGGACAAGTCAGAGCCCAGATCTGGTGCTATTTTACATAACACCGTTCAGGCTGGTAAAACGGGGTGATCTCTGGGAAAAACAAGAAACATCAGGCTGTAGAGGGCCTGGCAAAGAGTTCGCAAGATGAAACCCAAACAACCGAGGTTTGTGAGGAAAAACTGGTAATGATCGTTCTGTGGAACTGGAGACTGAAGCTCAGGGAGGGCAGCTGACTTCATTGGGGACACACGGTTACCAGGATCCTTCCTGGTCACTCAAGCCTTCACCTCACCATCTGTGATCTACATCTTTTGAGATTCTGAGAATGCTGAGTGTGTGGAATCTTAGTCTGTGGCTTTCTGGGTCTGCTGTTTGATTTGGAGTTTGTTCCTTTCATTGCTGAGTGGCAGTCCACAGTATGAAACATTTATGTCGTATTTTCTAGGATAGAAGTATTATTTCTCACTCGCTTTTTGAGGCAGCATCACGCTGTAGTAGCTCAGGCTGGCCTTCAGCTCATGGCGTTAACCCCAGTTGGCCTCAAGCTCCATCCTTGTGACTTGAGCTCCCGAATGCAGTGATCCACCCAGCTGCATTTCACAGTTTGCATCCTAGAATGCCGTGTCTTCCTGGTCTCAAACTATACTTCTTTTTTGATTGTTTGTTTTGTTCATTTTTTGTTTTTCGAGACAGGGTTTCTCTGTAGCTTTGGAGCCTGTCTTGGAACCAGCTCTTATAGACTCACAGAGCTCAGCCTGCCACTGCCTCCCGAGTGCTGAGATTAAAGGCATGCACCACCACTGTCCGGCTCAAATTGTACTTCTTCACTGGCTAATGATGTTGGACATCTTTTTTTTTTTGCTTCTTTTTTTAATTTTTTTCTTTTATTATTATTATTAAAAATTTCCACCTCCTCCCATTTTCCTCCCCCATTCCTCACTTCCCCTCCCCCTCCCTCTCCAGTCCAAAGAGCACCCAGGGTTCCCTGCCCTGTGGGAAGTCCAAGGTCCCCCCTCTATCCAGGTCTAGGAAGGTGTGCATCCAAACAGACTAGGCTCCCACAAAGCCAGTACATGCAGTAGGATCAAAACCCAGTGCTATTGTCCTTGGCTTCTCAGTCAGCACTCATTGTCTGCCACGTTCAGAGAGTCCAATGTTGGATATCTTTCAAGTATTTGTCATTTATAATCTCCTTGGCTAAATGTCTATCATTGTCTTATGCCCATTGTCTATAAAGCTGATTTTGATTGTTTAATTTCCAGAGCCCCCCTTTTGTTATTAGACATAAGCTGTTTACTGTATACATAGTTAAAACTGTTATAGTATGAAAGATGTCTACACTAGCCTGGAATGGAGTATAACAAAGGTTTATTTATTTGGGGATAAAGAGAAAGGGTAGCAATCTGCAGTTCTCTGTGTGCACTGGGAACTGGAACTGAATACAGCGATCAAGAGGCCCTAGCACACTTCACATCTACACATATAGTGCATAAGACCTCACCTGAAGTTGGCCAGTATCTTAAAGGCTATTATTGGCTGAAGGAGTTCCCACAGCACCTCCCCCTCTTATCTAAATAAAAGAGTTTAAGCCTAATACAAAACTATATATAGTAAGAACAAATATCAAGTATAAAAATTAGACTACAACCAGCATGAACAACATCAATCAAGAAACATATACTAAATGTTTTAATAGTTATTTTATCCCAAGGAGTCTAAGTCTTATATTAGAAATGTCTTGGCAAAGTCATAAGAGAAAAGTAACTACGACTATCTAGTCTTCAACCTCATTGAAGACCTGAAAAGGGGGATAATACTACTTGAGTAAACAGGAAGTGCAATCAAGCAACTTTTAAAAGTAGCCAGAGACAACTGGGCAATCACCCAAAGTCTCATTTGTAATGTTGTGGCAACCAACTTTGGTTAAGGCCTAGAGTAACTGACAGACCATTTTCAGAGACAGGAAAAATTAAAAAAAAAAAAATCTTACCCTGTTTTGGCAAGGTTTGGCAGTCTTTTTGCTTGTATTCTTCTTGTCCAGTCTGGACACCATGCATTTTGTCAGTGGTCGAGGTAGGGGCAGTTCTTTGCCCAAAGACTAGTTTTGCCCAGAAGAAAACAAGCTCCAAGTGGAGTGTCTTCAGTGCATTTTCTCAGGAATAGATCAGTGCTGCCAGCAGCAATCATGTATCACATCAACAGAATCCTAAATTATTTAAATGCCAAATTCTACAGTTTTTTGAAGTGGTTGAAGATTACTTATCTATGTTAAATATAATCTCTATACATCTAAAGAACCTGATTAGTCTAACTATATGTATAACAAACATGGATGACCATTGACCTATAATTCTTAATACCTATATATTTTAAAAACTAAAGCTTCATTTTAAAACAATAATCTTTAAACAAATTGCAGCAAATAAGAACAATGACCTCAAAATATAAACAATGTATAAGCATCTTGATCAGAGGTAGAAATGTATGCTACAATATGATAAATATATCCTAAAATTATATCAATATACAAAATGTCTTAAGCGGAGGTAGAATCATGCATGCATACAATATGACAAAATGACTTTTCATAGGTGCATAAATATTGTAAACAGAAATAGGATTATATTCAATATAGCAAATATAATTTGAATTTGTATCAATATACAAGAATCTATACTAATGTAAATTGTCTAGAAATAATAGCTTACAAGTATTCTCACTATTACTCACTATTATTATTAGTGCAAGCTCACACTAATCTACCTATTATCCCTCCATTCCTCCCTGCTTTTTCTT